ACCACTGAATTTAAATACAATAAATACGTAAATATTATATGAACTACTAGGCCCTTACCAATTTTCGATTAAATATTCAACAACCCTATACTTATGCTCCTGACTGTAAACAACGTGTGCATATGTTAAATAGACAGTGCGTGACGTTTCCTCGCTCTTCGTCTTCTTCTTCCTCTATAGACTTTAACATGGCAATTATGCATTTTTAATCAGACGACCATAATGCTTCCCGGAAAAGCTTTTCCTATTGATTTTCTGTATTAACCAATTGACATACATCCGATAACGGAGCCAAGTGAACCCTTTTGAACTCCGACTGGAAGTCTCTATATATTCCAATAAGCGAAATCAAACATTGTGAACGGCAAACCAAATTGTAAAGAATCATTTCGATTCAGTTTCGGTTTCTGGCTACATTTGCATACAAATGCAGCCGGGATTAAAATCAAAATTCGATATGCCAGAGGCCACACATACACACGCACACGCACACTTTCTCTGAGAATTTTCCGAACAATATTTTACTGCTCAAGACATTCCGACATTGTTGTACGGCGAGTGGCACCCCCTTTTCCCAACTGGAGGGAAAAACTTACCCAAGTTCTTCAATTACAATTTGATTTGCAAATGACACAGAGAGAAACATGGCAAGAAATTGAAGTGGAAAACTTTGCAGAGTCAAGAGGGAAAATGAGGAAAATGCGACAAGTCGGGTTGCGAAAGTTCAACACGAGCCGGGGCAAGTGGAATTAAATGTTTGTTAAAGGTTTCAACTGATTAAAAATGATGGCAGGGCACTCCCCAAAAGTTTATGAACATAAAGTACGGATACATAACCCTAGATAGAACTCTCTGTGTTAACCCTCCTAAAAATACCCAACATCAACGACTCTTCGGGCAATTGAATCCTTTAAGCCCGGAACTTTTTTCATGGCGCCAGGCAATAAAATGTTGCAACATTAAAAGGGCGGTGCACATAAATAAAAAAATCGCTGAGTAAAAAATTGGGTTAAAAATTAACTACACCAAATTTAAATCAACTGCAGAGAGGGGTGAAGTTTTTCGCAGGAGGGGTAGGGTGTGCTGTCCTGCCTGCCTGTCAGCGAATCCTTCGAGTCCTTGGGCGGCCGTAAAAAATCGACTCGTTGGGCAGGCTGAATACGGCCGGAGTCCTGGCAGCCGTAAATAAAGCGCCGCAAACATTAATAACTCCCATTGGGTGTGTTAACAAGCAATGACCAAAGAGGGCCGTACCCGCCAGGACTGGGATTTCGGATTCGTTTTCCTCTGTTTTCCTCGGCTTTCCGCCCCTTTTCCACCCCTCTTCCCCTGCCAATGTGCATAAATTGCAGTAAAAATGGCGCAAAAATTTTACATTTTGTGGCTGTTGTGAAAAACGATGTGCAACAAAAAGTCCTGAGCGGAGTGAAGCGGAGCGAAAACGAAAAGTAACAAGTAAGCGAGAAGCTCGCAGGCAGGTAAAAATTGCGCATACGCCAGGTGCGCCTCCCCACATCGCTACATAAAATGGTTGAGCGATGGGACGTCCAGGATGGAGGGTAATGCATGTAAGACAATCATTTTGACAGGCACTCTCCTCTTCCGAGCTCCTGGCCCCGGAATTGGCCTCCGGCTGTGTGCTGCTCATTGGGCCGTCGCTCGCCTGGCTGCCTCCTGATTACTATGCACTTTGATACTTATCTTTAATTGAGGTAGCATTCAGCACGGCGCAGGGAGACCGAGGATGGCGGCGGACCAACAAAAGTCTCGTCTGCCACGCCACGGTGAGCACACTCCTCATACTCGCAGTCAGCTCCTTTGCTCTGTCAGGATCTGCTTTCGGTTGGCATTTAAACATGGGTTGAGTTTAGAGTGGGGCTAAGAAATAAGAAATAAGAAATAAGAAATAAGAAATAAGAAATAAGAAATAAATAATTCTGAAAGTGATTTGAAACCTAGAAATTCCAATTTTCAGAAAAATAAACGAAAAATGGTAAAAATGTTAGAAACCTTATAGAACTCATGAGTAAAAATTTATTTGGGTTTCAAGGAAAATTGACCATTTTCATATTTTAATATGCACAGAAAATATATCGGCGAATAAATAACATTTTGTAGTACAATTTTTTTCGTAAAAGCATTTACACTTTAGCAAAAGTAAAAATCGATAAAAGAAACGTTACATTTTGTTTGCCGCATTTCATTTAATTTGTTTCAATATTTCAACGTAAAATATTTTGATGGATTCGTTGAATTGTCGTCCTTTTTCTGGTCACATTTTACTCAAAGCGATTGTATTTCATTAAAAATCGAGTGACAGCCAGAGTTATTTAATGACAGGTTGTTTAAAATGGTTAATACACTTAACCGCGTCCCAGTGAACCGACCGCAATCGCTCAAATATATTTAATGTAATTTAACGCCCCACTTTGGCCTCAGTATTATGCGTTGACCCCGGCCATATTTGACCTGGCGCCGCAGGAGTAGTTCAACTTTGTTTCAATTAATCGTTAACCCTTCCGGCAGCTCGGCAGCTCCGCAGTTCGACGTTTGCCGCTGCGGCTGCCCAGTGCTTGCTTTATAAATATTTAAGACCATTAAACAGACAGCGCACACACATGCATTCGTAATCCCGGCCATTCTGGCCGCACTTGCACATGGCCAGGACTAAGCGTTTTATGGTCCTGCCACAGCCGTTTGCCATTGTTTCCACAGGGCTGAGCCGTAGTTTTGTGGTCGGTAAATGGGGAGTCGAACTCCCTTTCGAAAACCCCACCATCGCAACCGTAATCGTCATCGTTATCGTGTGTACCTGGGTCCAATTGTTTTGCCATCAGGTGAGCTGCAATGTCTGCGGCGGATGCCAAGGCTAATTTTGCGTAAAATGAGCGCTGAGCAGCCGCTCGGATGATTCATTATGGTTCCCGAAGGACTCGTTGCATGCGCATATATGCAAATGAAGGGGAAAATGACAGGGTGGCGAAGGGGCACCGGGCACCAGGGTTAAAGGACCTTCCGGCACCCTGGGGCCACTGCACCCGCACGGCGAATCAATCATAGATTGTCAACGGCCACGATTCGCTTGAGTCGGTAAGTCGCTGGCGTATACGTGATGTTGGCCCACTCCCTGCGGACCTGCACTAATTGATTTATTGCCCGAAATTAATTCTATCCCAGCACATTAATATTTATTGCGCAAGCTGTGCCACGACTACGATTACGATTGCGATTCGGATTCATGCACAGTCAGCACCTTGACCTTTCGCTCAGATTTTTGTCATGAATCCGCTTTTTGAATAATTTCCCATTTTCGGATTTGCCCGCAGCTTTTTGTTCGCCCTTAAATTGCTGCCATGAATAAATGAGTTGCTCAAGCGGGCCGAGTACAAAAGCCTGGCTAACGAGTCCGTACAAACAGTCTGTGGACTTTCGAGGGGGGAATGGGTGGGTAGTGAGTGATGCAGTACCAGTACTCATCCACCCACCTGCTATTTGCTGTTTTATAAAAGCAATACGCATATGCCCGGCATGCCAATGCAGCACTGGTATTTGCATTCACTCTTCTTCAGTGTTTGCCTCCGAGGGGCTTTCCCCCTGTGGAAAACCCTGTGGAAATCCCTGAAAAGCGCTCGTAGGGCTTCTGGCTGGCAGCTCTTTAAGTTCTGCGGTCCGTGGCTTCAGAAAACTGAAGTTCTGACTAAACGGCACTCGAAAAGGAGATGCATGTCGAACAAATCGAATTTCATTCGATTGCCACACGGAAAATAAAAAAAAGGACACCTGAGTAGCCATCATATTAATTGTCATTTACTTATAACTTGAAATGAAAATGAAATGCATACATATGTGTTGCAAACAGATTTTAATATGAGTTGAAACCTTACCAGCTGCCAGCCAATTAAGGGCACTTTTTGCGCAGTGCAGCTTCTCGAAATGAGCATTGACTTGATGCCATTACTGGTGGCCATTGAATGCATTTTCCGACCAAAGGCATTTCCTTCACCGCCAGCCTCGAATTTTCCTTTTCGGGCTTCGGTTTGTGGCAGAATTCCATTTCGATTGCAGCAAATACTTGATTCAATTGCCGGAGAGGTGGAATTTTTACATATCCATCGCACTCGTAAATATAATTTAAGCAATCGGGCATTTCTTTCATATTTTCTGTGATTTCTGATTGCTGCTTCGGTTTTATTTTACCCACTTTAAAAATTCTTCACCCACCCACAATCCTCACTTAATTTCGTAAATGGCAAAGTTTATGAGCTTCGCCATTTGGGAGTCCGTTTAGATTGTTGTTTGTTTGTTTGTTTTGTTTGCCAGCCGGATTCCTTTTAGGCGGAAATGAAATTTTTGCAGTTTTACAGTTTTACAATTTTGCCGTAAAAGGGTTCCATGTTCTCCTTTTCTTTTTTTTAGGGGCGGAGATGGTTTAAGTGGGCTATAAAAGCTTTTTGCTTTGGCCGTTTTACAAATACTGACGACGAAGTCATAGAAAGTCGTCGCCGCGTCGAGTAATTAGAAAATTAACCCCTGCCAGCAGGCCATAAATGAAAATGAAACAACAACTGTGTTTTCGCAGTGCGAGCAACTAACTAAACAACAACAACCGGCACTCCACATGGTCGCCACTTGCAAAATCAGCCAGGCGAAGGCCACTTAGTGACTCTTTTTTTTTTTAAATAGGGGGAAAAGCGTGAAACAAAACCAAAAAAAAATATATATAAAACAAAAACAGGAAAAATGACGGGGGTTGTGTCATCGCTTTAATTAAAGAACGCGACGTTAAGGTGCAGTTCGCGGGAGCTTTTATTTTATTTCCTGAAATGTCCTGAATTTTATTTTTTGGCCTAGAGAAATCGGGGGTGCGTCCTCGCCGGCAGGTGTTTGCCCCATTATGGCAGGCCATTTTCGCACTTGAAGTTATATCCACCGCATATATCTCTCTTATATCTCTCATATCTCTTATGTCCCATTTCCTTCCCTACTTTCGTATTTTCCAGGGCTGGCCGTGTGCTACCAGCGGCAATCTGTGAGCAACAACAATCACAACAACGCCGAGGCGAAGCCCACCCACGCACCCCCCTCGCATTATCCTCATGGCCACAAGTGGAACGAGCCGTACTTTGATCTCACGATGCCCAGGAACATCACTTCGCTGGTGGGCAAATCCGCATATCTGGGCTGTCGTGTCAAGCATCTGGGCAATAAGACGGTGAGTCCCGGGGTGACGCACTAAATCTACACGGAAAAAATAGAAGATACATGATACATTTAAGGAAAACAAATTTAAAAACAATTCGAAATAGGATACAAAAATTTAAATAAAATTGTTTAATATTCCACAGAAAGCTCTATAAAAATCGTACTAGGTAAAAGTCGAAGTATAATTTTCCATTTTTAAAAACAAAACTTTAAGACAATATTTTAAATGATTCTAAATCTGTAGAGATTTTTTGTACTATAGATTAATTAATTAATTTAATTAAATTATATTCATTTTTAAATTTTTGGCACGCCTGATAAAATGCTTCTAAATGCTACTTTGTGTAATAAATAAAATATACTGAATCAAAGAAGATAGTTAAATGTTTATATAAAAATACACCAGAACAATTTTTAGATCGATTTTGAAATTATATTGTTTTTTATATTTTCCCATCCTGTTTCAAGGCTAGAAATATAATTTTTCCTCTGTGCAGGCAAAGTCAACAGGGAGACAACAGCCGGAAACATTTCGTATTAATAATCTTGATTTTTATTTACATTTAATAAACAAAGAGCCCCGAAACGGGGCGGTCGCAAGTGTGGCGAATGTGTCACCAAATATCCACTTAGATGGCCGACGCAGGCAGAGCGGGGTTATTAAATTTGCTGCCAGTTTATTATGTAATACGTGACAGCAGCCGACACATACTGAAACACACACATGCTGACCTCTTGTCCGTATTTTGGGCCATTTTTTTCTGGAATGGCGTCACTTGATCCACCCGACCCAATTAAAGTCTCTCCTAGGGGCTTGTTACCCCTCAAGTTTTCGGAGGCCCCGAAACAAAGTGTTGCATTTCAGCAATCAAAATTAAATTGGTTGCCATAACAAAGGGGCGGTATTGGCGGCTATATAGTTTTGCCTATTTTATTTGCCGCAGACACAATGCGGAAATATTTTGCACGCACTTGCCAAATTCATCGCCGCCTTTCGTTTTTCGCTGGGAAAGTTTGCAGGTGCTGGCAGGCCCCAAAACGTTGATTACGTTAAGCGATTTGGCCACGGTCACGAGGCTCATAGATTTCCTCCAGGCCAAATCCGCTTCCGCAATCAGTAAACTACACTCACATCCTCCAGTTAACTGGCCGTGCTCGGTTTTTGGCCAACAGTAAATTTATGGCCAACCCGGGCTAAAGTTTATCAAATAAAAACACCTCTTAACGAGGTAAAAAACTAGTGACGATCGCACCTTCAACATACAAAAGTTCTGATATCAACATTTGTGACGAAAAATTATTACACTCGTCATTAAATAGACTTTCTAATATTTTCTCATACGGCCCGCCCTAGCAAACTATTCCAGCCTTTTTCCCTTCACAGGCATTTTCTATTGCAGCGTGCCGAATGAGAAAATATTAGAAAGTCTATTTAATGACGAGTGTAATAATTTTTCGTCACAAATGTTGATATCAGAACTTTTGTATGTTGAAGGTGCGATCGTCACTAGTTTTTTACCTCGTTAAAGGTGTTTTTATTTGATATCGAAGTTTTTGTTTGTTTACTTTTGCTCTCATAGGTGCTAATATAAACATTTAAATTTAAATTGGTCATAAATCATAATTTTTAAACTATTGTATTTTAACGAATTCAGTTAAAAAGGCGTTGAAGTAATTCAAAATACCTTTTAAACGAGGTATAGCACATGTCTGTACCTTTAGTAGTGTAGAACTTACAAACTAACGAAATGTAGCTATTTTTAGCCTTTTCCCGCTAAAGTAGCGGCTTTTTCCAAAAGTCGTAGAACAAAAGATTCCTATATGGAACTCTAAAGTGCAAATTTACTGATTCCATGACCCTAAAATACAGTTCGGATACCCTCACACAAAATTCATACTCAGGAGCGTTAGTAGTTCGAGCTTGCAAAGTGGCTATTTTCGTATAAAAATAACTTTTAAACGTGACTTTTTACAGTAATGTGTTATATACCAATTTAAGGAATCTCAAGTGCTATACAGTTTAAAGTTTTAAAGAAAATCGTTAGAGCCGTTTTTGAGAAAAATAAAAAAAGCTAAAAAAAAGTTTTAAAAATTTTCTTTGTTCATATTTTTTTAACTATTACATTTACACAAATTGCATATATATGGCGTTTATAGCCTTTAAAAATACCTTTCAAACGAGATGCAGCACAAGTCTGTAGCTTTAGTAGTATAGAAGTTACGGCTTTCCGAATTTTAGCTACTTATAGCTGTTTTCCCGCTAAACTAGCGAGTTTTTCCAAAAGTGGTAGAACAAAAGTTTTTTATATCGATGTGATGAACGTCATATCAAATTTTCAAAACTTAGAAAACATGTTTTGGACAAACTGACAAACTGACAAACTGACAAACTGACAAACAGAATTAAATTTTCATTTTGGGAAGACGAAGAAAATCTTATTTTGGCTATAACTTTTGAACGGAGCGTCGGATTTTGACAAATGACCCCTCATTCGACGGGTATTTTCAAAGGAATACAAATAAAGCATTGAGAGGGGGCAATTATCCCCACCGGCCCCAACAGCTCCAAATTTCGAAATATTCACTTTTTCACTTTCACCGCTCTCTCTCCCAGCCAATTGATTTTCTTAAAGTCTTGGTATGCAATCCTTTAAGTTTTTGCAATACCTTTCGATTGGTGTATTACTCATTACGATCGGACTATCCGCAGATTTTCAATTTTGCGGCTATATAATAGTAGTCGCCTTCGCACACTCTCCTGGTGCGCTTCGTCACTACATGGACTGCCGTCCATAGTGACTTTACTACTTTTTTTGGGTTGCCTTTCTATGCTTTTTTTTGCTTTTTTCTCGCTGTTATTGCAGAATTAGACAGGCGGGCAGGCAGGAAAGTGGAACTGCACAGATGGATGCCATACAGTTGGCTGACTCTGTCTGTCTTTCTGGTTCTGGTTTTGTGTGTATGTGCTATTGGTTAGACAGTTAGCCGCATAAACAAGAAGCCTCCACTGCCAAAAAAAAGGAACAGAAAAAAAGGACAGACAGACAAAAAATGTGTATCAAATGTAGTGGGCAATGTCGAGTGAATGTCGCAGGATGGATAGTATCATTTTCCGGGTCTGTCATGCGTTCCGCACACTAATTCGAAGTTGTATGAAAATTCAGTCTGTGAGCTGCATAAATTTTGCGGTTTCTGCGGTGGCAAATGGCCTCGAACGAACTACAATCAGGGCCCGGTCCCTTTAAAGTCCCCTGAACAGGGTATTAATGGACTTCCCTCCTCCCTCAGGTTGCCTGGATACGACACCGTGACCTGCACATCCTCACCGTGGGCACCTACACCTATACGACCGATCAGCGCTTCCAGACCTCCTACCACCGGGACATCGACGAGTGGACCCTGCAGATCAAGTGGGCCCAGCAGAGGGACGCCGGGGTCTACGAGTGCCAGATATCCACGCAGCCCGTGCGCAGCTACTCGGTCAACTTGAACATCGTGGGTAAGTAGCCACACCAATAAAAAGCAGTTTGTCAAAAACTACCAGAAATCGACATAATGATACATTTAAAATGTTGTAGTGTTCGGTAACCGAAAAAAGTACATAAAGGCAAATATACAATTTATTGATAAGTAAATTAAAACTCCTTAGATGGGTAAAAAATTAATTATTTTTAAAATTGTAAATGATCCCTAAAAGAAATGCAATTTGAAGCATTCAGATATTACCATAAAACAAATTTTTCTTATTGGAATTTTCTAAATTTTGTTTGTTGGGAACTTCCAATTTTTACAATCTATAAATTCGGCTTTAATTTACTTGACCTTTTTTGTACAAGTAAAACTGATAGCTCCAGCCTTTTGTGTATGAATTTACAAAATGAAAATTGTTTTCATTTATGGTGTAGGTATCAAAAAAATTTCACTGAAAGCTCGTGAATCCACGAATATCCCAGTTCAGCTCGCTAAACGTAATTTAACCATACAGATACTAAAGAATTCAGAGCCTCTGTTTGTTTGGGGAACATCGCATATTTCTCTGTATTGTTTTTGCATATTCATGCCATTTTCAAGAGTGTAAATTATGCACACTTGGCAATCGTCGCAGCAGGATATAAAAGCGGGGCGCGACTTTTCCGGAAAATATGACAGAGGAATTTCCCGAAATTCTTTCTGCAGATTGATGGACTGTCAGGAGCTGCCAGGCGCCGCAACGCACACATAAGCGGATATCGACAGAAGACCTTATTTATATAGGAATTAAGGTGTAGATAACGGCGAAAACCGAATGCGCAACATAAAAATATTTCGCAGCCATTCAATTTTACACAAAAAACATTTATTCTCTTTAATCCCGGGGCCACGAGCGTATTTTGTATATTTTGGTTGAATTATTTTTATGGTTTTTCTAAATCAAACAGACAGCCCCTCACTGCGCCAGATAAGCGGAGGAGTGGAGCCTGGAGTGGGAAAAGCCAGAATAACAAATTTGAAATCGTGATTGGAAACGCAATTTGACGGAACAAAACTTTAAGTTTTTTCTCAAAATAATAGCCAACAAATTACGCATGAATTATTCACCAGGTGGTCTTAGCCCCCTAATTATAATGGACGGTGAATTTCTATTTCTGGCTTTCTGCCCGCCAGAGTACTTTGGTTGATTAGTTTTAGCCGAAGGCTTATTATAACTATTCTAACGATTATTTCTATTTCTAATTATATTTTTGTTTCATATATTATTTGTTTTCTTTTTTCCCTTGTTTATATTTTTGGTTACCCCCCGTCCGATGGTTCGACGATTCGATGGGCAGATCTGATAGACGCCGAGACCAGCGATATGATGCAGCAGTATTATAACGACGACGCCTTCTATATAGCCGAGAATCGGGTGTATCAGTCCAGTAACGATGAGTTTGCTGGGATGTTCGGACCCATTCAGACAGTTGCGGGTTAGTCAAACACCCGCTTTTTGGCCGAGTGACAAGTCTAACCGCAGATAGACAGAAAATAAGGTGCCAGACGGAGATGAGAGGTCTGCTCGAGGGCTGCCATGCATGCATATTATTTTTTAATATTTTACAACATTTTCCGTGCCAGCTGAGGAGGGGCCAGGGGTGGAAAGAGGAGTGGTCGTTTGAGGGGTGCGGAGTCAAGTGCTGCGCGCCCGAGGCAAGCACTTTTCTGGCTCATGACGAACAAATTGCTTTCCAACAAGCTTTTACCCACTAACTTTGCCAGCTTGTTACGGTTACTGTTGCTCCACCTATTATTTTCTACCTTTTCGCAATTTCCCGGTCTCTCTGCTCTAGTGTTGCCGCAATTTGAGAGCCAAATGATTGCTGTAGTCGTCAAAAAAATGGAGTTGCAATGAAAATGGAAACGAGTTTTGTTTTTCAAGAAAATTAAATAAAACAAGAGAGAACGCTATAGTCGGGTGCCCCGACTATCAGATACCCGTTACTCAGCTAAAGGGAATGCGAAGGAGATGGAGATAAAAGCTTTGATCCGCCGTAACTTTTTAACGAATGGTCCGATTTAAAAAATTTCTTCTACATTTCGACAGGTATTGATAAACACAACAAAACTGCATTTTTACTTTTCCAAAATATTGAAATTTTTAAATTCGTATATTAGCGATTGTGGGCGTTAGAGGGGGCGTGGCACCCTTTTGAAACAAACTTGCGCTGCGTAGGTACTCCTAAAATCTGCATGCAAAATGTCAATCTTCTAGCTTTTATAGTTTCCGAGATCTCAGCGTTCATACAGACAGACAGACAGACAGACAGACAGACAGACAGACAGACAGACAGACAGACGGACAGACAGACGGACAGACGGACATGGCTAGATCGACTCGGCTAGTGATCCTGATCAAGAATATATATAGTTTATAGGGTCGGAAACGCTTCCTTCTACCTGTTACATACTTTTGCACGAATCTAATATACCCTTTTACTCTACGAGTAACGGGTATAAATATTTCAGGCAAAGAATAATAATTTCCAATATTTCAGTAACTTACTTTTAAAAGTTTATGCTTTCTAAGAACACTTTATTAAACTAGCTTCATTTATTACTCGAATTTATGAACTTTTGGTCTCCAAAATACAGATGTCTAGCTACAAAGAAATCCAAAAGTACAGCACTGCCTTTTCGCATTCATGGCCCAAGTGGTTCGCACATTTAATTATACCCAAAGCCTTTGCAATATTTATTTTGCCAGGGATTCTGCGACTTAGTCATTCAGGGTCAGTGTTTTGCAGAGGTCGGGGTATCGATCACTCCTTCCGAAGGGACAGAGGCTGGCATTGAATGGACCCTCCTCGTAGAGGCTTCCCTCGTGCGAGGGTCCTGCGCTGTAGTAGCAAACGAGCATGAAGTGCACGTTCCACAGATCGTAGTCCTGGCCAGCAGCACAGCCCATGTAGGAGCTGCGATCGTTGATGATATTCCTGATCTCACTTTCCCCGCTCTCCGTGGCAATGTCCTCCATGTCGTAGAGCTCGTCCAGCCATTGTTCCGCCAGGATCGTCATTTCGCGGACATTCGACTGTCGAAACGGAGGTCTCGGATAGAAATCCTCGGCGTAATTAAAGTGCGGATCATCGAAATCATCGGTGGCCAGGCAGGAGTTTTCGGGTAACTCCAATTGGCAGCGTTTCAGATGATATTCGGCTACTACAGCCAAGTAGTTGTCCCACGCCAACTCGGGCATCTTCTGGGCTGATGGCAGGTCCACAAACATGTTGCTGGCCACCTCCTGCCGATATCCGTTGTGGAGACCGAGCAAATACTCGCGGAAGTACAACATATTCACCAGGCCATGAAACCGCAGGCAGCTGTCATCGAACATCTGCAAAAAAAAGGACTATAAAAAGAGCACGAGAACCTTGAACCTTCACCTCACCATGTTGTTATCACATCCAATATGCTGCTTGCCCTGGCAGGACTGAATACCACAAAAGTCTATGGCCGAAATGGTTCTGAGAAACAAAAGGGGGCTCAGAAAAAAAGTCAACTGCAAACGTTGCATGTCTGTTAACAACTAATAACTACCTAGAGAGATGCAAAATGGCCAAAAAGCAATCTAATTAACTAGAAAAATTATTGAAAATTACTCAACAAAAAACCAGGCAACACAGCAAAGCAAACTATGACTAAACTGCTAGAAAAAATTGCTTGTTGACATTTAAAGTAGTGTGATAAAAATCTGTTTAGGTGTTGGTTAATGTATACTTTAATGAAAATTAATATTTTTTTTTTTATTTAGATATAAACCAGAAAAATTATGGAAAATTAATTAACATAAAAGTATAACATAACGCAGAGCAAACTATGACTAAACGCCGGAAATTATGGTTATTGACATTTAATTTATTTATTTTTTTAGGTGTTGGATAAAGAAAGTTAGAAAAAATACTAATTTTTTTATATATATAAATTGAGATATTCAATTTTAAATTAACTCTTACGGCTCGATAAAATTGAGCTGTTACCCATCTTAAAGTCGCCTTCAACTTTGTGCAGCCTTGTCCTTTGCAAACTTTGCGCTTTCTGGCCGCCTGACAGGCGGTAATCGATTATTTAACGTGCTGACTTTGACTGGCACTGCAGCTCCCAACGACGGACTATGGAAATTGGCAACAAAAGCCGAACTGGACCGGATTGGCCTGGTCAGAAGGGAGGGATAGCAGTGTGGGTGGAACTGTCACAGCGCAGTGCTGTGCTGGAAAATGGGGAGAACAAACCGTTTGGCAATTTCACAACTCGTCTGAGTCTTGGGGAGCTGTGAACGGCGCTGATTAGGCGACGTAACGCAGTGATTAGCAGAGCTCGGGAATTTTCAGGGATTTATAAAGGGGTAAAGTGAATGGGAAATGGATTGCATAATGGATGGTGTATAGCCAGTAATATCTCTCTCTGACTTTCCATTCGCAGTGCCCACGGCTACCATTCTGGGAGGACCCGATTTGTACGTGGACAAGGGCAGCACCATAAATCTCACTTGCATCATCAAGTTCAGCCCGGAGCCGCCGACCCATATCTTCTGGTATCATCAGGATAAGGTAAATATCTCTTAAAATCAATTTACAGCGAAAAAAAGTTACTAAAAAAGAAGAAGCGGGCCAGGGGAAAAACCAATTTAAGGTTTTCCTTTTTGGTGCCAAATTATCTTGCAATAATTGAGTTTGTGCGCAGTAAAAAGCGCAAAAGTGGAGCATGGTGGGCAGGAGGCGTAAGGGGCGGGGCCACGCCCAGCCAATTGCTGCAGGATAAACGTTTTTAACTTTTATGAGCTCTGGGCTGGCGCCTCTCCAGTGTGTGAGTGTGTGCGAGTTTGCTGTCGCTTCCTCGCGTTTGTTTACGCGTCGTATACGCAACGTATTTAATTTTGGCTTTTATGATTATGAGAAAACATGCTTTTGCATTTAGCTCAGCACTCAGCGGAGCTTGGCTTCTCCAACGAGGGGGAATCGCATTTAATACGACAACTCCCACTCACCACCCCCACTCTTTCCCTTCAGGTGCTCAGCGAGGAGACTTCGGGCGGCCGGCTGAAATTCAAGACCATCAAGTCGGAGGAGACCAAATCCATTTTGCTCATTTACGATGCGGATCTCCTGCACTCCGGCAAATACTCGTGTTATCCTTCGAACACGGAGATAGCCAGCATACGCGTCCATGTCCTTCAGGGTGAGTTTCGCTTTCGCTTTCGTTTTCTCTATTTTTCTTTTTTTCTTTTTGGAGGCTGTCTCTTTAAGGCCTTAATTGGATGCTCGAGTTTGATAATGTGAATTATACATTCATGCATCTGCTTGACCTCGATTTGTATGCATTAAACTTGCATCTCGTTCTTTCTTTGTTGGGCCAACTTTTGCGCAATTTATGAGCTAGTGGCCACAACACAAGAGTACACTGTAAAAAAAATAAAATTTCAGAATGAAAGAAAGTTGTTTTTATAAAAATTTTTCATAAATCGTTTTTCCTTAAATGAGCCATTTATGATTTTTACAAATATATTACTCAACAACTTTAACAGGATTTCTAGTTAAAAAATTGTTTATTTATTTTTTTTATATTTATTTTAATGAATTAGGAAATGTATCTTCAAATAATTTGAATTGACATTGACCTCAAAATAAATTTTTTAAATTATTTAATACAAATAATATTTGTAAGAAATTATTTAAAAGGTTTTAGAATTCAAAATATTTAAAACTTAATAGCAAAACACTCAAAATTCGAAAAGAAAATCTTAAAAGCATTGAAAACCTTTTTCATTAAATATTTTGAGTTTGTCGCTTCCTTAAAACCACCTTAATATCTAAAAGTACAACCTTTTTGTGACGCAGACAAACTACAAATTGTTACTCATTCAGCGCAAATCTAGTGCCGTCTTCCCACGACTCTAACCACTCTCCGCTTTCTATTTTCCATTTGCCGTTTCCCATTTCCCGGACGGACAGGCGAGCGACCCGAGGCGATGCAAACGAACGCGGCACCGGCAGCCGTCGCCCTGGCCTGTTGGTCCTGTCACTTTGGCCAGGCCACGCAGGCGGTCAGGGTAATTAGCACAATGGTGGCCGCACTTGTTCTCTTGGAGGCCTGCTCCTCGCTGCTCCTGCAGGGCGGAGGGGGATGTTCCGTTGGAGGAGGAGGATGTCCTGGAGGCGGAGGAGTCGCCGGGACCACTCGCATCAGGGAGAAACAGGAGAAGCCGCGCCCAAGATCCTCGGGCGACCCCAAGGAGCCCTCGACGACGTCCGAGGAGCGTGTCAATAATGGCAGCCGGAATGCACGGTGATAAATTAATGTCGCCCAGTTGGAATTTCACCGCCAATGCAGCGCCCAAATGCAGCAGAAATTATTTATAGGCGAAGTTGAGGAGCATCGGGAGCCGCAGGAGCAGCAGGAGCAGCATCTGAGGTCCTTCCACTCGAGCTGCATGTAATACCTTTCTGAAAAACCAACTAATTATGCTAATGATGGAAGACGCCGTGCTGCTGCTTCTGCTGTTGCTCCTGGCGAGCTGCTCCTCCCGCTTCTCCTTGGCAAAGTTGTAAGTAAGTGTGTTTCTAATTAAGTGGGCTGGGGATTAGTTAGTTAGGCGGAAATCAGAGCCATGTACATAAGCTTCTCACGTAAATTGCCAGCACACTAGCGAACTTAGCTAAATGGAAAGCATTTCGAACGAATCATCAAATTAGAGAACTATATTCAAGTGGTTTGCTTATAGAGCCATGCCTAGGTGTTTAAATAAATATTAAAAGTAAATGAAATGGAAAGGAAAGCAGGGGTTGTTAAGGTGTCCTGGGCGCGGCAATTAAGTAATTCGCTCTAAAAACCTAAGGTATAAAATAATTTGTTCTATAAGCATAAGGAAGGAAATATAATTTGTATATAGCGCAGCACCAGGACACCTTAACTGCTGCCTTTGAATGTCTACGGATCTCCAGAAGGACCCCTTAGTAACTTAAGAATATACGTAGCGAATGTTTACTCAGATCGTTGTAAATAATAATGGGATTCGTTCTTGATTTGTGTGTTGTGTCCTTGGGTTACCCTGTATAGCCTAGAGTTTAAGCCATGTAAATACCTAGAGATACAAAGTAGCTAACTGTTTCGGCACGAACTTCTTCAAAGGTTCCTAAGCAAATTTTTCGAACAATTTTACATGTCCTCGGCTCCCTCAATAATCTATGGGAACTGGGAGAATTCATAGGAAATTCCTGCCAAAAACCCGCCTCAGTTCGAAGTGCGACTTGCCGGACTAACAATTTATTTAGAAGAATTTCTCCAAGTCATGTGGGCAGTTCCTGTTCCCATTTACCAACTCCCAGCAATTGCTATGAGTTCGTTGCTCTCGCTCCGAGTCCAGTGAAATTTAGAGCTCCCATTTCAGCATGTCCGGTTGCATTTTTACGCCCTAAAGCCGCCCCACCGGAAAAAGGAAAAGGGAGAAAGACACAACTGGCAAGTCACTTTTCACTCTTGTCAACAAAATATTTGCATTTCCATTTGCCGAGGCGGTCGAATGTGTTCAGGTTGGGTTTGTCTTGAAGGACTTTGTCCGGGAAACCGAACTCCTTCATCCTGTGCCACATTTAAAAATGTATGGGGCCCGCAAATGGGGCTGAGTTTAACTGATCAAAATTGTAAATAAACCTGCATATACCATATGAATAAACTATAAACTGTACTCGAGTATTTGTGTGGTAGTCATACATTACATATGAAAGCAAACACACACATAAGAATGCACACAGAGCGCGCGAATCATTCGTATATATATAAATAGATATATGTGGATTTATATACATGGATGTATCGATATTAAAAATGTAAACCCAACGCATGCAAAATTAGTCGCGACATGTAAATGAATGTTTAATGGGTAAATTAATGTTGCCATAAACGGGACAGAAAAAACCATGAATATAATTGCAATTAAGCAAATAAAATAATATATGTTATAAGCATAATATGGGGAAAAATAGCGAGTATTATAACAGGAGCCGAAAAGCAGAAACCAAAACAAAATCAAACTCTGTTGACTTTTGTTGCAAACAAAATGGCAACGCATTATAAAGATTATGAAATTGTTTTTAGTTTTTAAGCGAGTAGCCACGTAAATATGGAAATCGGTATGGAAAATTTCAATAAAGTTTTTTTAGTTACTACCATCCAATGATAAATATGTATAACAAAAGCACGAGTTTTCTTTGATTTTTGGGAGGTGGTGGGGCCACCAACCACATGCTGAGTCGAATCCTGGTAAGATTTATGCAAATATTCTCCATTGCCATTCATGCATTTAGCCAGGGAATTTTAATGGGCCACACGCACAAGACCACAGACAATGGAATTTCGGAGGTGGCCCCACGGGGGACTGCAAGTTTTCTCCGCTTTCTTGCTTTTTTCGGGGGCGGCATTTTCCATTTTTCAGCCTAATAAAGCCGCAATGCGAAAGGCGGGCCGCAAAACTGATGGCAAGAAGAATGGGCATTAAGTGCCTGGCTGGCAGCTGTCCCACCGAATCCTACGAATCCTACGACTAGCAGTGGGCCATGTGTGGCAGGACTCTGTTTGCGCTTTGGTAAGACATCAAAAGCCGTTAACATAAAAGTTTATTATATGACAAGTAAGTATGTGTGTGTGGCTGTGTTTGTGCCGGCCCGTAATATCATGCCAAAAAGTTTAATAGCGCACAACGCGTCAACCCAGGACTTCTCCGTCTTCCTCTGCCCACTTTTCCCCGAATCCATTGAGTGGAAAGCGTAAGGAGCGAATAAGGCGCATAAGGCTCATGAAGCGGAAAGTTCCCCCGCCTCAAGCCGGAAAGAGAGTATTACCCTAGATGATGACGACGATGATTGGAATACTCTGGTTTCGGGACCACATCCTCGCATGCAAGATGGATGGACTGCACGAGCCGATAAATCGGCGGATCTGCAAGGGGAAGCTTTAAATGTAGCATTTCAAGGAAAACAATTTTATGGGAAAGCAAACATAAAATCTGGGCATATATATATTGCTATTTTCAAATAATTAAAATTTACTCAGTCAGTTTCTATTGCAAAAATGCAATAATTTGTTATAAAAAAATGTGTCTTTTTTTTATAGATTTTTAATTTTAAATACTCCTTAAAAAATAACAAATCAATAAATATGCAATGTGATATAGCGTTAAGTTCGTAATAAAATATCCAATCCATTGGCGTTCAAAACTCACAACATATACTTTTAAAAGTTTTTTTTCAAAAAATAGTGTTAAATCCAAAAAAACAAAAACAAAAATATTTCATAATTTTGGCAAAAATGAGAAAACTTTAGAAATTTTTTAGTTTTCTATCACAAAATCTATGATCTTAGGTCATAGGATTTTCACATATTTTATCTCCAACTAAAATCTTAGCTTGTTCCTAACTCAAATTAACGTGATATCGCATAGGAGTTCAACCACCGTTTGCGACACATGTTTTGCAAAAAAAAAGCTTGCTCGAAAGGCGCCAACGCAATTGTCGGATATTACCTTTAATTGCGCATAGCTCGGGCCGCAGATGTCGACCGGCGTGCAGATGAAAGCCGGAATGCCCGGGGAATGTGGCTCACAGTTGGGACCCCGTCCGAGGAAGGGCAATCGACAAAAGGGAAAATAAATTATCATCATTGTGACATTTTCATTTGTCAACGTAATTTTGCCGTGTCGCATTCCTGCGCTGCCTAAAAGGACACTACACTCGGTGCTGCGAGTGCCGCAGGATCAACATTAAGGTTTTTGGAAAAAAGTCTGGCAATTCGGGCAGGAATTTCACTTCACTTTGACTGGCGAAAAAATAAAAGCGAAAACAGAAACACGTTCGTTCGCCTTTTATGTGCCGTATGTCTCCTGTGGAGACCCTTAATATTGCCGCGTACATTTTTAATGCGAAAGTATGATTTGATTTTATTCGACTCGGCCGCACGTTTATTCGTCTGCAGCCGAAGTTGCAATTTAAAGTCGCTTATTGAACATAAATCAAACGTCTAAGGCTTCAAATGCACAGCACACACACGAAAATCCAGTACATAATTTATTGACATGGCTGTGAGTCCTGGCAGGACCAAAGCCCTGTCAGGAGCTGCCGAATATTGTCCTCCAGCTGCCAGCCGGAATATTGTACATTATTTTACTGATTCTGATTCTGGTTCTGATCCCTCGACCATTCGGCGTGTTTGTGGCACTGTCAAAGCGAATGCCAATGGCCAATTTAAATTGCAGCCAAGTGACGAGTTAAATGCATTCCATTCCTCTGCCAAATTTCCCCTTGATTTGTTGCGACTTAAGCTGCCGGAGAATGCCTTTAACTGGGTTAAGTTTAACTTTGTACAAGTTTCCAACGAAAACAACACATTTTCCCCCTCATTAGTGCTTACATTCTGCGTTATTAATAAGAATAATTACTTCCACTTTCCCTTAATATTGCCGTTTTAAAATAAAACAATGGAGGAAAAAACGGAAACCAAATTTGTTGGCTATATTGTTTACACATGTAATGAAATTTCTGTGGTTATTCGCCGGGGAAAAGTGTTTCCCTTGGCAATTATTTTGGCGCCAGTTTTTCAGCCAAATTTCTCATTTCTGTGCTTTAAAAATAGCAAATTAATTATATTTCACGCCGCGTTGTCGACGGCAACGAAACAAAAAAGTGAAAAACCAAAAAGAAAACGTTGCCCTGGCTCATAATTAAATTTCGCATTCGTGCGTGAGGGGTGGGAAATAGGGGTGGATGGGGTTACATGGCGGATACGTATGGATTTGCGGTTTTCGGGGCTGGGGAAGTAATACGGATTTGATTAGGAAATCGGTTTAAATGGGTTCCCGCTCTCGCTGACTGTTTGTTTTGTTGCTTTGCTATTGTTTGGCTGGAATTTCGTTTTATAATTTTTCTGTGTATTCTTGTGGTTTGTTCGTTTGTTTTTGCCCTGTTTCTATTGCTGTGTTAGCCCATTTTAGCCGAGAATTGCTTTTTGAATATGTGCGACATTGTTGCCGTTGTCTCCATAAATGGATAACCGAGCTGCTCTGAATTTGTTGCTCACTCTGTGCCCACTTTGGGCTGTCATTTTTGCGGTCAACACTTCCACTCCCACTTCTACTCCCCAAAAAAACACGCCCGCCCGCAAAAACCCGTCCGAAAAGCCCTCCTAATGCAATTTGTCATTTTCAATTTTTGTTTCTCTGGCTCTGGCTTTTGTCTCAAATGGAATTTTTGGCATTTCGTTCACATAAATTAGGCCCGGCCGTCTGTCCCTCTGTCGTCCTCTGTTTATTCTTGCTGTTCTGCACTCAAATTTGCTGTGTAAATAATTATTTTTCCCATTTCGTTTGGATGCAAATTGTTTACTTTTCGCATATTTCTCCATCTCGTTTGCAGTTGGCAATTTCATTAGGAGCTGTGACTGCAAATTAAAGGGGAATTCTATCGCACACGAGCGCTGTCATAATCGTTAATCCATATGGCCATCTGATCTGGGCTCAGCCGCAAGATAACTCGATTTGCTGGCAACTGTCGTTCTTGGTCAATTTCAGCTGGCATCAAATGCAATTACCCATCTGCACTATGTGTCTCGATGTGTGTCGATGTGTGAGCGAGTGCCCCATTAAATGGACGGCTGTGTGGGTCGCCAAATCCGGGGCAATGATTCCTAACTCGGATGAAGTGGACTCGAATTATATCTAAATTATTGTTAAGAAGTTTTTTTACTCACGGAAATTACACAGAACAAATAAAAAGCA